ATACAGAGTTCAAAAATAATTTAGAAAGTTTTCCTATCTCCATCCCAAAGATTTTACAAATGTTTTACATGAGATCTATTAAAAGGTCACTGAAGTTGATTTTAATGCAGTTTAAATACTTTGAGGTTGAAAGAGACCTAGCAGGAAGGGATTGAGAATAATGAGCTCTGCTTGAAATAGTGAATGCTTAGAAAGTCTCAGGTCACTGATTCACCTAATCCAACTAATTAAGAAAAAACTAGTATGTTCATTTAATTTTCTGACAGCCTCTCCATCCTCTTAGCTGCATTTCAGACACTATTCTCCATTGACCACCTAATTTTAAAAGTTCTGAAAAATATTGGAGCAGGATATTATAATATGTCAAGCTTTTCAAATGTTTTACAAAGATTGATACCTGTTTTTTCCCCTCTTGAACAAAGTTTACACTGTTCATCTTATAATCTTGCTCTTTATAATTATATATTAACCCAAAATGCGCTATAATCTACCTAATATTTATTTGTGATTTAAAATGAAAACTTACCTCAAATATATGCATGACAGTTGTGCACTATGATCACTTAATTTGCTGTGAAATAACATGTTTTCCAAATAACTCAGTTGCATTTTGTCTTTTTCTTACTCAAGTTATCTCCACTAGAGATAGTCAAATTATTTTTCTCTTCAAACCTCTGTCTCTGCCTCTGTCTTTCTCTTTTTCTTTATGTCTCTCTTTATGTACTTTTAGTTTTTGTTGTCTTTGGTCTATCCATCATTTGATAAGAATCACCTAATTATAGACACTGTAATTTTCATGCCCCTTGGACCACTGGTCTGGAAAACCTGTGACTGTGTGAATAGTGAAGCTTAAATGCTTCCACTATTTCTGTGAATAGCTCTCATTTCTCAGGGGTAGAACATTAAAGATTGGAATCAAACTGGTAAATCCCCAGAGATGAAGCAACTCTAAACATCCCTTAACCCCAGCTATAGCAAATGTATATGGTCAGGAATCCTGGAAATAATAGAAATGCATCCCTAGCACATCTATGCTTCTCAGTCCTTTCAAATGTAACACTTTTCTCAAATGAGGTTAAAAGAGTAAATTCATAATAACATCTCCAGTATGGAGCGTTCCTAAAGCCAGTCTTAATTTGAGGCCTGCTACAGGCCAAAATAATGAATCTCAAGGATGGGTCTTCCATTATAAGACTTTTACCATTTCTCACTGAACAGAATTATCAGTCATGTTTCTAGCAACCATTTTTAAGCAACAAGGATCAAGGATTTGTATTAAACATGACTGCCACAGAATTTACTGTGGAGTGTTACACATCAATACATCATTTTTCTTTATACCTTGGTTCTCCTAAATTTGTTTTTATTTTTATACTTTCTTAAAGTTAACTCCCTGACAAAGTTATATACAGGTTTATGCAGGTATTGATGAGTCCTATTCATATAACTCAATGAATTTTGTCTTCTAGGTGGAACCTGAATAACATGGTAGGCAATT